GCTCAAAGGATTGTGAGCCAGGGGATCAAAGGGAAGAGCTAGGTCTTTGGTACTTGTGGTGAGGACAGTTAACAGTGTCATCTGGAACCAGAGCATGTGAACTGTTCACATAAATGGTGGCTTCAAGCTGAGTTTCTTAAATAGTAATGCTTACAGAAGGTCCTTTGTGGCCCTCTCTGCACCTGACCCTAGGACCTACCCTCCTTACACATCCCCTGCCCCAAATCCCAAGTATCCCACTGCTCATCTGCTTCTCAACCACTCAGTCAGGAGCACAGCCAGGTCAGCTGCCTGACCCCTTATGGCTGACCTTCCTCCAGAGTGCTCTGGTTCACACCATGCATTTCTCAGGAGTCCACATTCCTCATGCCTTTCAATAAGGTCTACAGACCACTTCAGAGAGGGATCCTGGCCCACCTCTGGTAGCTCTGGATAGGACAGGAAGCTGTTAACATCGGTGTTGGACCTAAGACCTTGGCCTTCCTGTAGGGATTTTGCCTCACCCATCCCATGGAACACTTGCCTCACCTCAGAGATCAGGCCTGGGACTGGATAAAGCCATCTGAGCAAGGGCTGAGGGAAAACCATCATCTAGCACCTCTGGCCACCCAGGACCAGATCTGTGCCTAGCAGTTGGGTACTTGGAGACCAAAGCTACAATTCTTTCCACTAAAGGCCAGGGGATGGGATGGGGAGCAGGGAACAGGCAGGGAGATGTTAGCGGTCAGCCTCTAGCAGGCCCTCATAGGCTCTGAAGTATTGACTTTTCAGCAATTTTCCTTTCTGGCCAAGCCCACTGAGTTTGAAATCAAGACATCTGCCACTCCCTACCTCCCACTGTACCCACCATTAGATACATCATTGCCCTCTGTGAAAGTGGCTGGAGCAAGGGCTGTCTTTCCTGGCCCTTGTATGGATGTAGCTGTGACTCTGGGGGCAATTCAGCCAGAAGCTGAGGGACCTGCATTAGGTGCCTTGGGAAGTAGAAAGCAACAGGCATGTCTCCAAATGGGCAGCAGGTCTCTGGTGTATAGCCCAGGCCTTCTCCATACCTCTGTCCTCACCATCATGAGCAAGGGCATTGCCTCCACTGCCCACTTCAGGGCCCAATGCACTCACTTCATAGTGACAGCATCCCCATCTCCTTAATCTTTGGGCAGAGCATATGTTACAAGGGCCCATGATGAAAGAACAGCAGTGGCAGCAACTATGGCTTATCTTCTGGAGCCTATAAGGAGTTTTCCAGGCAGGTCCTTTGCCACGACCATGTGGTCTTGTGCCCTGTTGGCCCCTCCCTGTCTCCTTAGCACCCCCATGCTGTAAATACTTATCATTGTGAAATCCAACAAGGTCAGAGGGATAGGCCTAATCAACTGAAACTCCTCAGAGATGCCATCTCTCTCCCCAGGTGCCAGGAGCCCTGCTGCCATGTATACTGCAGGGCACTGGAGAACCATGGAAGTCATGAGATATTGTTATGTGTATGCACATGAACATGCGTGCGTGTGTGTGTGTGTGTGTGTGTGTGTGTGTAACTGCCTCATTTGGCCTCTGGGGTCAGATCAGCTTCTTCTCTCCAAATGCAGTACCTGGAGAGTGGTGGCCACTCAATACCTTTTCCTCTAGCTTTCATGTCTTGTTTTTGCTTTTCCCTCCCTTCTCCCTCTCTATCTTTCTTTTCTTCTTTCCTTCTCTCCTTCTTTATTTGAGGGGGAAGAGTGCTGTACAAAGTCAAACAAACAAGTTTACAGTTGTAAGTGCAATGACCCAAGTCCTCCACATGACCCTTGTGAATTGTGTGCCGTCTTCCTGTGCTCTGTGAGAACTCTTCAGTGTCCCTCCCCCTGTATTGTGACATGGTAATTCTGTGGTATCAGAATAAAAGGACTTGATATAAACAACCTACAGACTGTTTCTGGGATGGTTTCTGGAGCGAGACTGCTTAGCCAAAGGAGCAAATCCCCAAATTTTTGACAATCCTGTCCACAGCTAAAGGGAAAAGAATGACTGGGAAAAGTTGCAGAAATGCTGGTGTGACTGGAGCTGAGTTCATACCAAGCCACACAAACAATAAGCCCTCCACAAAGATGCCCAAGGGACAGGCACAAGCTTGGACCTGGAGCAAGCAGTTCACTGTGCAGCTCTCCACAGGCCTGTGAGTATCCAAGCTACACACACACACTCTTTTTATGGGGCCTAGCTCAGGGGTCCTCAAACTTTTTAAACAGGGGGCCAGTTCACTGTCCCTCAAACTGTTGGAGGGCCAGACTGCGGGCCCCAGGATGAGTTGGCTGCTAAGCAGGACAGGCAGCAGCAGTGAAAATACCCAGCGGGCCGGATTAACGTCCTAGGCAGGCTGTATGTGGCCCACTGGCCATAGTTTGAGGATGCCTGGCCTAGTTCCTGCAAGATAGGTGAGCAAGTGCTGCCCCTAGTGCTGCCAAAAAGCCCTATACTTATTTTCCTTGTTCTGCCTGTTGCAACCCAAAACTCTTGTTAGCTGCCAGATCCTAGTGCTTTCCTAGAGTTGCTAGAAAAAATTTTTTAAATACAGATAAATAGGCTTGATGCCATAGCACAGTGGTTATGGCGCTAGCCACATACACTGAAGCTGGCAGATTCAAATCCAGCCTGGGTCTGCTAAAACAATGACAACTGCAACAAAAAAACAACCAGGCATTGTGACAGGTGCCTATAGTCCCAGCTACTGGGAAGCAGAAACAAGAGAACAGCTTAAGCCCAAGAGTTTGAGGTTGCTGTGAACTGTGACACCACAGCATTCTACCAAAGGTGACATAGTGAAACTCTGTCTCAAAAAAAAAAAAAAAAACACAAAAAACAGATAAACAAAAAGAATATTAACATCTTGATGCATGTCTCTCCTCCTTGTTTGTATTTCTATATTCCTTTTTATTTAATTGTATTATTTATTTTTGAGACAAAGTCTCTGTTGCCCTGGGTAGAGTACCATGGCATCATCACAGCTCACAGCAACCTCAAACTTTTGGGCTTGAGCAATTCTCTTTCCTCAGTCTTCCAAGTAGCTGGAACTACAGGCATGCACCACTATGCCCAGCTAGTTTTTTTTTTCTTTTCTATATTTTCAGTAGAGACAAGGTCTCTATCTTGCTCAGACTGGTCTCAAACTCCTAAGCTCAAGCAATCCACTCACCTCAGTCTCCCAGAGTGCTAGGATTACAGGCATGAGTCACCACCCAGCCTTCTTTTTCATTTTAAATAGAAGCAAGAAGGTGCAGTGCACCCTGTTTTCTAGGCTCCTGTTCATTTCCACATGTTCATTCCAGGTACTTAAATGTTCATCTTTCAGTGCCCAACATTCAGAGAGATAGTGAATTTATAGCTATAGTGCAGTCTACTGCACATATCCTGAAAAACAGGTACCATGTTCCCAGGTTTCCTATTATAAACACCATTTCATAAACACCCTAATTTCCAACCTTTCTATCCAAATTGGTGGCTTGGTCCACTCTTTCTACTCCTAGTTATGGCCTTGATACAGTCCTGTACACATTGAGTGTTCACAAATGCAAGTGTCCTAAAAAAGCCAGGACTTTTTACTTAACTAGTAATAAGTTATGACACGATTGATGCGCGATTGATGCAGAAGGGGAAACTGCTGGCCAGGCAAGTGGGAATCTCTGTCAAAGGCAAGGCCTGGTGCAGGGAGCCAGGGCCCTGAGGTGTGGAAGACCAGCCAGGCTGATGGTATATAGAGGAAGAAACATCCCTACTGGCTTGACTGCTGCCCAGCCTCTCCTGCCCTCCGTTGCCACATTAGCCGGCCCAGTCCTGTGCCACGTGCAGAGGGAGCCTGCATGCCCACGTTCTTTTTTATAAATGAAGCTCTCTGATCCTGGATGGAGCTTGAGTCCACCAGGCCCTACACACCCAAGAGCTTGGGCAGAGACTTAGGAGGAAGGCAGAGAGAGGCCTGGGGAGGAAGTTAGGGGCCCACCTGCTCACAATCCCCAGCAAAAGGCCACTGAGAAGGGCGGGTGAAGGCTGCGGGAACAGATAGCTCTTTGGAAGCAGGCCTGGAGACCGACCGATAAGTCCAGGCAGCGTCTGAGAACTCTGGCACCCGCCCCTTTTTGTTCCCGATCCAAGAGCCCAGCTCCGCACGTTGCTCCCGGACCTGCGCCGTTTCCTTCATCTGCCTGGGCCCAGGGCTGGGCGTGGCACCATCTAGTGAATATTTACTTTGTAGTGGACAGGGAAGAAGCCTACAGTCACCTCCAGAGCTACAGAAGACCACGCTGCGGCCAGCTACGGCTCCGCCCCTCACCCTCATGGGTTCATTGATCAGCATCCTTCCCGCCCCTTCCCGCCCTTCATTCACAAAGATCCAATTGTCCACAAACTCCGGTCTGACCTCTCTTCTTTCGCGGCTCAGTCTCGTACTGACTCAGGCACCACCCCCTTCTCACATAGACCTTTTAGGCCTCACAGACTTCACTCCTCCCTGAAGACCCGCTCCTGTACTCCGCTTCCACAGGGCCGCCCCTTCTCCTCGGAGATCTCACTGCCTCCCCTCTCAGTAAGAGGCCTGGGTCCCACCTGCTAAGTCCGCCCCTTAAAGGTTTACTCCTTTTCCCTAGCCTGGATACTCAACAGGCCGTGGAGGCCTGCACAGTGAGCTGCTTGCTCCTCCCTCCGCTCCCAGACTTCTCCCTCACAGGTCCTTCCCCCTCAGCCAAAGGTTCTCTCCCACTCCTCAAAGGCTCGGTTATCCCGACGGAAACTGGCCAAGTCGCCCCAGGCTCCGCCTTCCGAAGCTACACTTCCGGGAATTAGTAGGCCCCGTCACAGCCCGCCTCCCCGGTCCCTGAGAGGAGACCATGGAACGTCAGGTGAGGGCTCGGCCCACGGTTCCCGTGGTCCCTGCAGCCCGGGCCGCGCCTGACCCTGGTGTGTCCCCTGACCAGGTGCCGCTGAGCGAGCCCGAAGAGGCGGCGGCGCTGTACCGGGTCCTTAGCCGCCAGCCCGCGCTGAGCGCCGCCTGCCTGGGCCCGGAAGTCACCACGCAGTACGGGGGCCTCTACCGGACGGTGCACACCGGTGTGTGTATGGAGGGGAGAGGGCTCTGCACTCTAGTGGAGAAGATGGGGATGTGTAGGGCTGGCGCTGGACAGGACACGCGGGTGTGGAGGAAGCCGGCCTTGGGTTGGAGGGTATACTCCCACATGGTGCCCATGAATGTGTGGGCCTCCCATACACATGCCAGGCTAGCCTCAAGATTGTAGGAGGGGGATGGTGCTGAGATTAGTAAGTGGGTTCTAAGAGGCTGTCAGCACAGACTTTGGAGACCCGGGACTTGGGTTGTGGCCAACTGTTGTCCAGCCTGCACTGGGGTGTTTGGAGATAGACTGGGGAAGGCGGGTTTGGGCCTTTCTTGGTGAGGGGCAGTGACCAAATCAAGTTGAGCAACCTGATGTCTCACCTCACAGAGTGGACCCAGAGGGACCTGGAACGCATGGAGAACATCCGATTCTGCCGCCAGTACCTGGTGTTCCATGATGGAGATTCAGTGGTGTTTGCAGGGCCTGCAGGCAACAGTGTGGAAACGCGGGGGGAGTAAGTTTGAGGAAAAAAACTTGTGGACAGTGCCAGCCATTTGCAATGCAAGGCTTTTATGAATGCCCTTTTATGTGCCTAGATGTGGGTAGGACCTAGATGAAAGGCCAGGAGCCAGGTTCCTCCCCTTTGGGAGCTCAGTCAGTCTCTGGTGGCATGGCCTGATAAGCACTGGAGGTTTGTTCCAACCTAGACTAGAGCATATGGTGACCTAGAGAGCTGGTAGAGTATAGAGTCCCTGCCCCAAGGAAGAGAGGCAAGGCCAGCTGCTATAGTGGGGCTAAAAGTGCTGCAGGGGTTGATGTGGAACCAAAGCCTCAGGAATCTGAGGTTGTGACCAGCAAGGGTAGGACAAGGCCCTTGTTGGGTACAAGGTAATCTTGACGTGCTACCCCACACCTTCCTCAGACTGCTGAGCAGGGAGTCTCCTTCAGGCACCGTGAAAGCTGTGCTGCGCAAGGCTGGAGGTACGGGCCCTGGAGAGGAGAAGCAGTTCCTGGAGGTAAGTCTGCAAGGGACCAGGTGGGCAACTGGGGACCGAGCCCCATATCAGTCTGGGCAGGCAGCCTTATGCCCAGATGTCTTCAGGTCTGGGAGAAGAACTGGAAACTTAAGAGTTTCAACCTATCAGCGCTGGAGAAACACGGGCCCATTTATGAGGATGGTAAGGTACCTGGGTGGTGAGCAAGCAGGGTAAACAGGAGGCACAGCCAAAGACCTGGGCTCCTGCTGACTGGCCTTTCCTGCATTCAGACTGCTTTGGCTGCCTATCCTGGTCACACTCAGAGACACACTTATTGTATGTGGCAGAGAAGAAGCGCCCCAAGACTGAGTCCTTTTTTCAGACCAAAGCCTTGGACATCAGTGATGATGACGAGATAGCCAGGCCGAAGAAGCCAGAACAGGCCATCAAGGTGCTCATGGCCAGTCCAGGGGTAGCCCTGGGACTCAGAGTGCTTGCTTCTCACACTGTACCTGTTGGAACTGGGGAAACACTGGTTTCTAGGAAGCAGGGCAGGATCTTGTAGACAGGCTGAACATTGAGTATCTTGTTTTCTTAGGGAGATCAATTTGTATTTTATGAAGACTGGGGAGAAAACATGATTTCCAAAAGCACCCCTGTTCTCTGTGTACTGGATATTGAGAGTGGCAACATCTCTATACTTGAGGGAGTCCCTGAGAATGTGTCCCCTGGACAGGTCAGCAGCAACTCAACCTGTGTTCACTCCTGGAGTCTGGGGACCCTGCTTGAGCTACTATTCCTTGCTTATACCTGTCCTGTGGTCTTGTTTACAGGCATTCTGGGCCCCTGGAGACACGGGTGTGGTATTCGTAGGCTGGTGGCACGAGCCCTTTCGGCTGGGCATCCGCTTTTGCACCAATCGAAGGTAAGGAACTTGGCAGAGTAAGGGGTCCTGCTGTCCATCTGGCCTTGAAACTAAGTATATCTCTGGTGGTTCCAGGTCAGCCCTGTTCTATGTGGACCTAATCGGGGGAAAGTGTGGTAAGTGGCTATATCCACTTGTGCTTTGTTGACATGTTGGCCTTGCCAGCCTGCGTAATGCTCACCTTTCCATCTGGCCCAGAGCTCCTCTCAGATGACTCCTTGGCTGTCTCCTCTCCCCGGCTGAGTCCAGACCAGTGTCGAATTGTCTACCTGCGGTACCCATCTCTGATTCCCCATCATCAATGTAGCCAGCTGTGCCTGGTGAGCTGGAGGTGGGCATGGGTAGGAGGGTGATCAGCAAGAAGGGATGATGGATTAGAACTGAAGGGCCACCATCCTCCCCCATGGGCCCCCAGGGTATGCCCTTGTGTCCCAGGTATGGCAATGGTGGGAATTCTGCCTGTCCTCTTCAGGTAGGGCCTGGAGGCTGAGAGTGATAGCCTGGAGGGCTTTGCATTGTTAGAGCTTGCCACCTTCAGAGCATCTTCTGTCTTTGGGAATGTTCCCCTCTTTTGTTCTCATTTGCATGGACCCAGGCCCTGCAAAGGGCTGGGCTATAACAAGGAGTTTACACAGTCCTAGTCCCTTCCAGGAAGAGCTTGGGATCCCTGATGAAAGTCAGAATACTCTTTAAGAGCAGCTGATGAAGAAAGATCTGAGCCCTTTCTGAGGCCCCTGTAAGCATCTGGTCCAGGTCACAAGAAAAAAAAGATATGTCAGGCTCATCTCATGTCCTCCCTCCCTCCCCTGATGGGCCTGACCGTGTATTCTCTTGCAGTATGACTGGTATACCAAGGTCACCTCAGTGGTGGTGGATATTGTGCCTCGGCAGCTGGGAGGTAAGGGGTACCTGGCTGGCTGGCTAGGTGCAGTGGGGCCTCCAGCTCTGTGTTTTCCTACCATCTGTCTCATCCTTACCCAGCTCTTCCTTCCTAGGTTCCTTCTGAGGGCCCTTCCTGCTGGGCCAGCCCTATGCCCAGCCTCCACAGGCAGTGAGGCTGTCACTGTAGGGAACAGTTCTGATAGAAAGGAGTTGGCTGGACCAAAGCAGAGATCAGAGTGTCCAAGCTAGCTGGGGATTTAGATGACTTAATTCCTGTGCTGCAGCTTATAATTTGACTTTTCTTGTTCAATAGCTGGTTAAAACTCTTGCTCCTTTGAGTGGGTTTCAGGATCTACACTAGATAGGAATGCCATACTTGAGAAGCCTTGGGCCTAGGGTAGTATTATCCTATTCTCCACCCCCACCCCAGCAACCTTTGTCTATTCTGAGCCCTTGGGTCAGCCAGGTCTCTGGGAGGGTGGCTCTTGGTTGAGAGGTTCCTGTCTTAATCCCAGGTGTTCACAGCTCTGCTTGGGATTCTGGACCATCCCAAGGTTATGAGGGATGAGAATTTCTTGTTTTCTCAGACCACCCAGTCAGTTCCAGGAGTTCAGTAGATAAAGGAAGGACTCTTTGTTTTCTCTTTGGGTTGCAGTGGTAGGGACCTAGTCTGAATCCTAGTTCTCTTCCTAATTAGTTACATGTCCTTGGACAGTGTCCTGGCCTCCAAGAGTTTCTATTTCTTTATTTGTGTCCCTACCTGCCTTGTAGAATTGGAGTAAGCATTAAATGAGTGATGATATTAAAGGGTAGTATTTATTGAGCCCTCTGTGCCAGGTGCTGTACTAAGCATGACAGCAGACAGATAGGTATTATCTCAGTTAAAGTACATCATGCCTAGCAGGGGCTCAAAAGGAGCAACTTTAGGAAAGCAAGTACTTTTCTTCTGAGCACCCAAGATTTCTCTCAAAAACTCTTGAGCTGTTTCCCTCAGCCCCCTACTCAGGCAGCTTCTCATCACCTATATGGGGGACGGTTGTTCTGCCACAGTATACAGGGGCCCTAGGTGAATCCGTCAGTAGCCCAGCCTGCATTGTTGTCTTGATCCCTCCAAACTCCACTCCTGGACACAGCCCCAGCTCTCCTATCTTTGCAGAGAATTTCTCTGGGATCTATAGCAGCCTTCTGTCTCTGGGATGCTGGTCAGCTGACAGCCAGAGAGTGGTTTTCGACTCAGCTCAGCGCAGCCGGCAGGTGAGAGACCCTAACTGTTGAGAAGCAGCCCCTGTGACCAAGCCCTGAGAGCCCTAGGTCTCTAAGGCCTAGCACACACACACACACAATAGCTAGCCATAAGGTCTCATTGGTCCCTTAAAACTTCCTGCCCCTGTCCTTGACTCAACTTCTCGAGAGGACTGGCTCCCCCAGTGCCCCACAACAGAACTCTTGGCCTTCTCATCTGAGGCAGAGGACCAACCTGGAACCCTTCCTAGGCATTTCCAGTTAGATGACAGGTGGTGGTGGGTTCAGGGACCACTGGGGTGTATTCCTGAACACTCTTAAAGAGCAGCTGATGAAGAAAGATCTGAGCCCTTCCCCCAGAGATGGATTGAGGACGTCCATGTTATGTGGCAGGGTCTTTTTGGGTGTCGTATCATTTGGTCCTCATGCTAACTCAAAGAACTTCAAAAGCATTTCTTACCTTGCCCAGGGTCACTCAGCAAGTTGTGATGGGGCTGGGATTTGAATTCAGACCCTCATGCTACTCCCCGCTGCACTGAGGAGCCATCACCATAGCTACTTACAGTCCTGGCCTGGCCCAGGGGTACCCAGGAGGGTAAAGAGGAGATAGGGGAGGGACCCCTGGGACTCTTGGATGTGGTGCCACATGTGGCCTTCCCTCTGCTTCAGGACCTGTTTGTTGTGGACACCCAGATGGGCAGTGTGACCTCCCTCACAGCTGGTGAGCATGGCATCAGGGTGGGGTTGAGGGCAGAACTGGTGGGCAGGCAGCCTGGTCAGGAGTGGAGTTGGGTCAAGCCCGTGGGGCTGTGGTCAGACTTTCCACCACTCTGTACCACTGACTGTTCTGCAGCCTTTATTAACAGTCCCCGCCCCCCCGAGCCCCAAGACTCTACCCATGCAAGATCCTGACCTAGTTGACAACCCTTCCTGCTTCACTGCCCTCCAGCACCAACTGTGTTCCAGGAGTCCTGGCTCAGCCTCAGCACGGCCCCATCTTTGCTCCTAAAACCCACCAAACATCAAACTTTCTTATAAGACCTGCCAGAATCCTCTTTCCCCTCCCCAAACCTTGGATGTCCTCTCTCAGGCTAAGACAGCTCTGCTACCTCAGGACCAAGGAGAAGCCCAGGGTTGACTCCCCTATATTCCCCACACTTGGGCCTGGTAATTCTGCCCCTCAAATGTTTTTTGAGTCCTTTACCTGCCCTGACTGTACCCATACTTCCACAAAGCTGCCAAAGCATAATTCCAAAGCTACCTCTCATTGTACAGTTCCTGCTTAAGAATCTGCTTGGGCCAGGCCCAGTGGCTCACGCCTGTAATCCCAGCACTGTGGGAGGCTGAGGAGGGAGAATTGCTTGAGCTCAGGAGTTCAAGACTTGCCTGAGCGAAAGTGAGACCCCCAACTCCTAAAAAAATGGAAAAATCCAGCCAGGCATCGTGGTGAGTGCCTGTAATCCCAGCGGCTTCTGGTGGCAGCTGAGGCAGCAAGATGCCCATAGCCCAAGTATGAGGTTGCAGTGAGCTATGATGCTATTGCACTCTGTTCAGGGCATAGGGTGGGACTCTGTCTCAACAAAAACAACAACAAAAATAATGTACTTGGACCACACTGCCCAGAATCAGCACACTCCCCCACCCACAGTGGACTCCCTAGGCCTAGCTACCACCACTGCACACTGCATCCATCAAGGGATAGGTAGATGTGCCTGGTGGTTAGTGTGTCCCTAGGTCTAGCAGTTCCCAGGCCCAGACAGTAACTGCCAGATAAACAAGGGACTGAACAGGAAGGTCACCCAGAGTCATGTGCAGTTAGGTGTTTGTGAGAGATGCTTCTCTGGGCGGCGGGGGTGGGAGTGGTGGCACCTTTCCATTCCTCCAGTCAGGGACTCTGCAGAGAGACGGTGGGAAAGGTAGTAGCCCTTGCCAGGCACTTAGGTATTTGTCTTCTCCAGGGGGATCAGGTGGAAGCTGGAAGCTGCTCACAATTGACCAGGACCTTATGGTGGCACAGTTTTCTACACCCAGTCTACCCCCAAGCCTGGTGAGTATTAGTGGGTCCCAAACCAGGAGTCAGGGGTTCTAGGCAGGTAGAGCTCCCCTGGCCCCTAAGGTCTGACCATAACTGGTCAGCATGTAGAGGGGCCAAGACACAAGTCTGGCCCTGCATAGTCCATGAGGGTTTGGACAGGCCTTTGGTCTGCTCTGTCCAGAATAGTGTATCTGGGGAAGGGCCCAGTCTTCTGGTATGATGGAACACAGAAGGACAGCAGAGCCTAGAAACTGGGAGTGGGGGAGCTATATGTGAATGTGAATACCTTGGTGTACACCAGTTCACAACAGGAAGCTATGTTGTACCTTCTGGAGGTAGGTAAAGGGCCCAGCATAGTGACAGCTGCCTACCTCCAACTCTGGGCAGAAGTAGAAGGGCAGGGAGGCAGCCAGGCTACCTATGACAAATTCCTTCCCCTTGGCAGAAAGTTGGGTTCCTGCCTCCTTCAGGGAAGGAACAGTCAGTATTGTGGGTGTCCCTGGAAGAGGCTGAGTCCATTCCTGATATACACTGGAGCATCCGGGTGCTACAGCCACCCCAAGAGCAAGAGAATGTGCAGTATGGTGAGCTGGGCCAGGTGTAGTGGGGGATGCCTCCTTCAGGTTCTCCAGCAAGGGGCATGGTGACCCCTTTCTTGCCTCCTGTCTCCCATTGTAGGGTTTCCTGGGGTTTCCTCTAAGAAGTTTTCTGTTCTTCTTGTGGATGTTCATGGAAGTGTCATCTAGGCACCTGAGCATCTGCTCTGGGTATCAGAACTGGGGGCTACAGGGCCTAATCATCTGTGGTATAAAAACCAATGCTCATAGAAAATAGGCCTTATACAAGGTCTCAGTGTCCATACTTCATCCAAAATGCTATTCCTGCAGAGACTAGAAGACTAGGGCAGAAGGAGCATGAGCCTTCTAGGGTCCACATGTTGAGGTATGGGCTACCTTAGCCAAGTCTGTGTTCCAGAGGTGAGCCTCAGACCTGCAGCTATAGATGGGGCCTTGGAGAGAGAAGCCGCTGGGCAGTAGCACTGGCCCTACTAACCACTACCCTCTCCCTACAGCTGGCCTTGACTTTGAAGCAATTCTGCTGCAGCCCAGCAACCCTCCAGATAAGACCCAGGTG